GTCTCTTTTCCAGGTGTGTCTGGGGGGCTACTGCACATGCCGGTGCCGTACCTTTATCATGCTGTGCCAGACTGCCTCCTCTGAATTTCTTCTTGCTCTCACTGTTACACTGCCCTCCCAAAACATTTGGCTGGGCACAGACATTTCAGAAGACCTCTGGGCCTTATTGTTGTCGCACCAACATTGCACCTGGTTTGGTTGATGAAGTCTCTCTTCCCCAGGTGGGTGCATACAGCTGCAAATCTGTGGGGGCTGCTCTCTGGCTCTCCTGCCCCCAAGGGCAGAGTTCAGACGCTGGCTGGCTGCACTTCTGCAGTCATCTTGCGCAGCCAGGCGAGAAGGTGCTGCCACCATTGGTGGTGGTCTTACTGTCCTGTGCTTTTTGGGAACTTCTTGTGGATGCATGGAGAGTCCAACAGCCACCTGTGTCTTCTGCTCCCACCAACGTACAGCTGCATCTATTGACATGATGTTCTCACGTGTGACTGTCCCCAGGTGCGGTGGCACTGTGTAGGAGCTGGTTCCAGCATGCAACTCATCAGCTCTTCCCCTTTCCTTGCCACTGCCCATCTCAGTTCTGCGTTGTGCACAATACTCACAACACTGTGAGTTCTCTTCTCTGTCAGAAGTCTCAACACCAACATCTCTGCGGGTTGAAGCTGGTCTTCTTGTTGCCACTCCTGCAGAGTTGCGGAAGCTGCTACGCAGTGCTGGTGGATTCACTGCCCGCTCTGGAGGGGGCACCAGATTATCCGGTCTCTGAGGCAGCCGTCCGTCTGGAAGAAGGATGTTCTCGCGTAAAATGCATTCCTCTGCTGGTGGTGGCCAGCTGGTAAAGCGGTCCTCAGTGGGATCTCCTACTGTTCTGCTGGCTGCCTTGCCACCTTGATTCTTCGTCTGGGCAGGTTTCGTTTCCTGCCAGGAAAAGCCCAGACAACGCAGCAGAAAAGAGCGCAACCAGCTGGGCTCTGTTCTGGAATTTGTGTGGGCCTTGCCAGTGTGCGTACGTCCAGGGGCACAGACAGGGACCTGCTCTGTCAAGGCTCCCTGATGCACATTAAGGGACATTAAGTCCTTCATTCTTCTGATAGATCTCCAGAAACTGAAGGAGCTGCAACAGGGCAGACTGCCCCGCTCCACCAGCTCTGCCAGATCCCTCCACGCCATGTCCCAGAAGTCAGGGCCCAGAGAGGGCACGTCATCAGGCAGTGCTGATAGCACCAGATACTGCATCTTCTCATCAGCTATGCTGCAACGGCTGCAGCTGGAGCTCGATGGCCCACCCGTCTGTCTCTTAGCACCTGAAAAGCAGGAAGGGGACCTGAGCCACAGCAGGACGGAGCACCTGGGACACCCTTGTCCCAGCCAGCCGACCTCCAGCATGCCAGGTCCTGATCCAGGGTTGGGCTTCTCTAATGGGCCCATCCCTGCCTAGCATGCATCAGGGCAAGCATGGGATTTGGGGCTGACCCACAGAAGACTCACCTGACTGCGATGCTGAGGCTCTTTGCCGCTCCACGCTTCGGGCCCTGGGGGAGCTGCAGCAGGGCAGGCTGCCCCGCTCCACCAGCTCTGCCAGATGCCTCCACGCCGTGTCCCAGAAGTCAGGGCCCGGATT